GACCAACCAGCTTTCCCAGTGTTTTCTCTCCATCTGTTTGCCTATTCTTCCATAATGTCCACCACATTTATTTCTTCGTCTTCCGTATGTGTTATTCTTCTTCCTACCATTAGGTCGATAGGTGGTGAACCACCCAGGACAAGTAGTGCTTCTGTGGATATTGTTCTGTACGCACTGGTAACTCTAATTAGTATTTGTCTTTGAATTCTCGTCAGCTTAACCACGTGTTGTTTCACCTTTAGGGCGTCGCGCCATGTTTTACAGGCGTACAATACTTGTGACCATATCACTGCACTTATTATTTTCCGTTTTTCAGCACTGGGTTTTTTGCGCCTTACGAACCATTAAAAGACGTTTGGCGCCTTGGTATGAAGATAAATTGTTTTGCTTATTTTTAGTGAATGAATTAAAAAGAATATCCGAAAAGGAGGGGAAGCCCCTTAGAGTTAAAATGGATATACACATAGTAGACATGTTACCGTGTGGTGAGTGATTAACAGTGTCGGGATCATCAGCCCGTACTTTTTTGAAGAGGAGGAGTGACAGTGACGTTAACTCGAATCGATACATTCAAATGCTTCAAACTTTTTTGTAATTCGCGATGGTAATGAAAGCTATTACAGTACTCAAACGGGTGCTGTAATGAGACTCCTTACAGCATCCGATGCTGTAATGAGATTTTAGTAACATTTTATGGAACCAGTTCAAGTTGGTGGCATTAGGTTATTAATTTTTCTAGTTGTCAATGTGACAATTTATGTCTATGGATATTTAAACACGTTCTAAACATCGAATACAAGCTTCACAATGATGAGGACATTGAACTGTGAGCATTTCTCATATTTTGGGAGGTGTACATGAAACATTTCTTTCAGGTGAATACATTTTGTGTTTTGACACTTTCTAATTGTCAATTCAAATTTCTATTTTCAAGTGTTATGGTGTTACCAACTGTAACATTCTTATTTCCCCACATGGTCAAAATTTATTTTATTTATGTTAAAAAAAAAGGATAAAAACGCGAATTACAAAAAATAGCATAAAAAACACGTTTCATAAGACTTAAAGCACTCATTCATTCAACTTGAATTCGTGCATTTCAAGCGTGTCTTACCAAACTTGTTTTTTAATATACTATTATGGCACCACGATTCTATGCGGTACAGATTTAACAGGATGTGTACGGGGCCACTGCTCACTCAAGCAGGAGATCTCTTCAAGATCTGAGGCAGCTGTTCCCAGAATGCTTGATGTCTTTGCGCGGAGACATCCACTGGCCAGTACGATCTTTCTGTGATTTTTTTGTATGGGGGTTTGTTAAGGCTGAAGTTTACAAACATCATCCGAGAACTCTGCCAGCCCTACGACAAACGATTCAAGAAGAGATTGCTCGTATTCCTCAAGAAATGTTGATTAGCGTAATGGCGAACTTCCGAACTCGCATTCGGCAATGCATTGATAACGAAGGAAAACACTTGAGCGATATACTGTTCAAAAAGAGAAACATAATAACGTAACTTCCCATTCTGCAGATTCCATTAATGTTAATACAGTTTTGTTAATTTGTACCATCTGTTTTTTATTCAACTTTCAAATTAGGGAGGGAGTTTTGCCGCACCCTGTAATATCATAGCACAACATCAAGGTCTGCGTTACGAATCTCCTTCAGCAGCAAATCATGTGTCGGAAAAATTCGGCCTCCCAACAATATTCGCATGTTTATCCTACCCAACCCTATGCAACTTTTTTTTTTGCATAGAGGAGGAGAAAATCTTTATAACTGAGCCCAGACCGGATATGGCATCTCATCTGATCCGATCGGGAGTGTGGGACTCTCCTGGCACAGATGTTGTTGGCCAGGCCTACCGCACTAAAAACTCCCCCTCTCTTCCCGGAACCGCCCATCGGGGCATTTCTTCTGGATATCTCACTTCCTTCTTTCACCTTCACCGTTCATGGGAAGGGATTCTTCGTCTTTTTGCTTCTTCTTCACCCTGCATTCCTCCTTCCTCGGAAACTCAGCGTGTTACGGAGCCGAAAAAGCAATCCTGTTATTTTTTGAAAATTGCTTTAAATATCACTTACCGGCACGAGGGGGAGGATTGCTCCCCTTCTGCCTTTCTTGCGATAAGAGCCTGTAAACTTTTCCGCTCGATCGCAGCTAGTGCATCAGGAACTCATTTGCTGAAGTCGAAATTACATTTGCCTTTTCTTTTCTTCGTAGGGTGTTCTCGTGCCAAGACATATAAATAATTACTTTTTGAAATACTTTTTATACCATACATACCGAGTCGTTATGTCAGTTAGGAGCTTAATTATTTCTTCTCCTTTCTCTCTTGTCTCTAACAACATTTCGTGAATCACCTCAATATTGATACTCTCCCATCTCAGCCAGCTTCCGCATTCCATCGAAACGAATGCATTCAACGATAGTATGTTTTGGGGTATCTTCCACTCCGCATCCATACCAGCACAGATCTGATACTACTTTTTTAATCTTCTTAAGATATTGTCCGAAAATGCCGTATCTAACAATGGCTTGTGTTGCGTAATAGTTCGTGGGGCCTTTTTTTTGCCACGTTTTTACATCTTTTATAAAATGACTCGTCCAGCCTGTGTACTGACTCCATCTCTCTTGCCAACGCCGGTAGAGTTCTTCTCTATTCTGCTGTCTATTTTCTCCCCTGGTCTCCCAGTTTCTCGCTCTCTCCCATACCAGTATATCATAGGGAAGGCTTCTGGCCAACACTCCCACCGCTTCTGTCGAGACAGTTCTATACGCCGATGTTACGTATATTGCGATTTTTCTTTCTATAGATCTGAGCACGTTTTTATATTTTTTCATTCTCAGGACACTCTCCCATGCAGGTACTGCATACAAGGTCACTGATTCCACCACCTTTGCCAATAGCTTTCGTTTTGCTCGACTTGGTCCAACTACTCTAGGCATTATACCGGAGAGCGCGTTTATTATTCTTAAAGCTTTTTCTGCGGTTCGGCTTAGATGGGTAGTCATGCGCATATCCTTGCAAATATGAACTCTCGGCATTATCCACCCTTATCTCAATTTTCTGTAATTTCCATTTGCCTTCCAATATAACCACTTCCGTCTTTTCTGGTACCAATTGGAGGCCTATGTCATTTAAGCGCTTGTTTAACATCTTTATGCAGTACTCAGCTTTTTTTTTTTTTCACTTCTTCTGGGTTGGCTGCTTTTACGACTACTGCCAAGTCATCTGCATAGCCAACTATCCCGACCCCCTTCTCAGTCTTCATTCTTATCACTGTGTCATAGCACATATTCCACAACGTACCACCTATTACTGACCCATGTGGGACGCTGCATTTTATTTCTTTTTCTCACCCGTCGGGGAGAACAACAGTTCTGTCTGAGAGGTAGGACTTGACCAGTCTTCTCACCTCTTCTGGCGCACCTTTAAAGTGCATGACCTACTACCGCCCATGGCATCGAATTGAATGCATTCTTCACGTCTAATAAAATCATCGCCCCGTATCCGCGGTGAGTTAATGATGTTTTCTTCCATTCTTGTGCTTCCTTCATTATCATGACGGCATCAACGGTACTCCTTCCTTTCCTGTACCCGTACTGTGCTTCAGATATTATCTTATTTTGTTCTAGGTGTTCTGTTGATCTGTTATTGATGATTCTCTCTAGTAACTTGCCAACTGCGCTTAACAGGCAAAGTGGTCTATATTTAGAATTTTTAGCCTTTCTCTATATTTTAGGAAATTTTCCTGTTTCAAGGCAACCGTTATACACGCTAAGAATCCTATGCAACCAACCCAATCTAACCCAACCCAACAAAACTCAAACAGTTATCGTTCTCAACCCAATTCTACCCTACCCAACCCAAAGATAACCAAATTAATCCGACCCAACGTAACCCAACAACTGCAGAGCGAGATGAAGCCACCAGGCACGTCATTAACAGTTATTTCTAGCGATGAATCACAAATGGATTTCTTTTCAAAGGAGATATCTCAAAGGAGATAGGCCTAGCAAAATATCCATTGCTAGAGTTGGTGTTGTGCTTATCGCACCAGAGATTGCCAATCCAGCTACTCTTTGAATTCGTGAAAGTTTACTGATAACTGCAGTTTGTCGGACTTTCCTATACGAGGCTGCTGCTCCGTATGTGATCATAGGTCTAAATTATCATAGGTCCTTCGGGGGTAAGATCCCAATACATTCCATGAAAGGGTTTTGTCTAGGATTACTCCTAGATATTTGACTTCCTTTGAGAAAGGAATTTCTTCACCTTGGATAGTTGGGCAGATTAGTCCATCCAACTTCGTCTCCTGGTGAAGGGTACAACGATTATCCTTTGCGAGTTTATCGAGAGATTCTGCCCTTTACACCAAGCGCAAATGGTATCTAGGGTCACCTGGTGGACTTTGGATATCCTTAAATATAGGCAACCTAATATTCACTCATAATTTAAAAAAATAAATTAGTCAAGATCAAAATTCGACTCCTTTAATCGTTTCAATTAATTCCCCATGTGTTGGATTTTCCACTTACTTGTGTTATGGTATAAAAATTCATTAGTGTTAAAAAGTAATGAATTTTTTTCATAAATTTTAACAACAAAAAAAAAATGATATGAATAAAATGGAAATATTTATTTAAAATAATAATTAAACAACATTGAAACATGTCGATTCGATTTTTTGTTGAAACAGTAATTAATTTGCTAGATAATAAATTTATCAATAAATTACGATTATTTTATGGCCATAATAATTTAGTTAATAAAACCACAACAATTAAGCTACATCTTAATAATAACAATAATAAAAACCTACAAGATTTTATTTTAATTATCTTAACGTAGACACACACACAATTTATTAAAAATTATAATAACTAACTAATAAAAAAAAAAACGTTCGTATCACAATTCAAATTCACAAAAGTAATTAAATTAATATTTATTTTGAGTAATTTTCTCTACATATTTTTTTATGTGCAGCTCAAATTTAATTGATTCATTTTTATATTTTATGTTCTTTAAACGTTAAATCAATCTAAGTTTTTTTTTCTTCATAATTTGTACTTCTCCATTTCAAAAGCTGCATTTTCTATACCAAGAAATTGAGATCGCAAAGTTCCATCTTCATTTGAAATAACTCCGTTTTCTTGTTTATTTTCGGATTTTTCCAAATCTTGATTAATTTTAGACTCTTTGGCTTCCTTTTTATGCTGAATATACATCCACCCAAAAATTATTACAGCCGGAATTGTTAAAGCCCCTCCTAACAACAAAAAAGCCCCCGGCATTGTATCCATTGTTGCCGCGTAAGTCGCGCTGTACATAGGACCATACACTAAAGGCATTAAAGCTTCGCAAACACCGAATAAAGAATTAACTTTACCTGAAATGAATTCATAAATATATGAGGAGTTAATTAAATAAAAATCGAACCTAATTCTTCGGTTGGAACTAATTTAGAAGCGATCGATCTCATCGCGATAAATGAAGTCCCGTTAAAGATTTCGACGATGGCTCCTAAATAAAAAACTAAAGATGTTTTTGCGAAAGTGTAAACGAAACTTGATAACACTTTGCTCATGCTAGAAATTACGCCGATTAAAGCATCATCAATTCGCATTATTTGGCTGAAAAGTCCCACTGAAATTCCAGTTCCTAAAAAAATAATTTATTAAAAAATTTGAATTAGTACAAAAAAAAATATGCATCATAGTGATATCTAGCGCAAATTAGTACTATCTAGCACTGTCACTAGAACTAACACTCGATCTAGAACTAGAAACATTCCGGTTTAGCCATGCGTCTCTTAAGACGGCTAAACCCGAATGATTCTAGTTCTACGTCTTGTGTTACTTCTAGTGATAGTGCTAGTGCAATACTAGAACTAACACTAGACCGAGAACTAGAAACATTCGGATTTAGCCGTACGTCGCTCAAGACGGCTAAACCCGAATGTTTCTAGTTCTAGGTCTAGCGTTAGTTCTAGTTTTAGTTCAATGAAAATATGCAATATAGTGATATCTAGTGCAAACTAGCACTATCTAGTACTGTCACTAGAACTAACACAAGACCTAGAACTAGAAACATTCGGGTTTAGCCGTGCGTCTCTCAAGACGGCTAAACCCGAAGGATTCTCGCTCTAGGTCTTGTGTTAGTTCTAGTTTTAGTTCAATAAAAATATGCACTATAGTGATATCTAGTGCAAACTAGCACTATCTAGTACTGTCACTAAAACTAACACAAGACCTAGAACTAGAAACATTCGGGTTTAGCCGTGCGTCTCTCAAGACGGCTAAACCCGAAGGATTCTAGTTCTACGTCTTGTGTTAGTTCTAGTTTTCGTTCAATAAAAATATGCAACATAGCGATATCTAGTGCAAACTAGTACTATCTAGTACTATCACTAGAACTAACACAAGACCTAAAACTAGAAACATTCGGGTTTAGCCGTGCGTCTCTTAAGACGGCTAAACCCGAAGGATTCTAGTTCTACGTCTTGTGTTAGTTCTAGTTTTAGTTCAATAAAAATATGCAACATTGTGATATCTAGTGCAAACTAGCACTATCTAGCACTGTCACTAGAACTAACACAAAACCTACAACTAGAATCATTCGGGTTTAGCCGTCTTGAGAGATTTGCGGCTAAATCCGAATGTTTCTAGTTCTAGGTCTTGTGTTAGTTTTAGTTTTAATTCAATAAAAATATGCAACGTAGTGATATCTAGTGCAAACTAGCACTATCTAGTACTGTCACTAAAACTAACACAAGACCTAGAACTAGAAGTATTCGGGTTTAGCCGTCTTGAGAGATGCACGGCTAAACCCGAATATTTCTAGTTCTAGGTCTTGTGTTAGTTCTAGTGATAATGCTAGTGCAATACTAGAACTAACACTAGACCGAGAACTAGAAACATTCGGATTTACCCGCACGTCTCTCAAGACGGCTAAATCCGAATGATTCTAGTTGTAGGTCTTGTGTTAGTTCTAGTGATAGCGTAAAACTAGAACGAACACTAGACCTAGAATTAGAACTAATCCCGAAACTTTCCAGTTCTAGTTGTAGAGTTAGTTCTAGTTTTCGTTCAATAAAAATATGCAACATAGCGATATCTAGTGTAAACTAGTACTATCTAGCACTGTCACTAGAACTAACACTAGACTAATAACTAGAAACATTCGGGTTTAACCATGCATCTCTTAAGATGGCTAAACCCGACTGTTTCTTGTTCTACGTCTGGTATTAGTTCTAATTTAATTCAAGAAAAATATCCAACAATCTAATAATGAATAACAATTAAAACTAGAAAGTTTCGAGTTTAGCCGTGCATTTTCAGACGAATCGAGGTTTTACTATACCTATAAATCCAGTTATCATGTTGTAAGCTGAAAAAATGCTAAAATCGAATTCGTCCCAATTGAATCTGTATCTAGTAAATAAATACATCACGACCATTTCGCCTAAAAAGAAATGTAGTAATTAGAACTTTAGATATTTAGTATTTAGAACAAAAGTTCAAATTGGAAAAAAAGAGGCTAGTCATTAAATTGTCATGTTGTTCAAAACCTGTTATTTGATTTTAACCAACCGTTGTTATTTCTCACGAACATCAAGCCGGATATTAAACATTTTCGAACACGATGGATGTACGTCGTTGTATAACCATCGATAAATCCTTGTTTTTTTTTTTTGACCTCTCTATTTATTTTTTTATTTTCTATGTATAATTTTGTGGTTGAATAGTGTCCTCATCTAAATAACTAAAGCTAATAATATTACACCGTACCGAATCCAAACATTACTATTATGTAATCTATTCACAACATAGGTAACTTGTTACTGAGCGGATTTTAAATGAGAAAAAAAAACAATTTTAAAGCAGCTGATTTGATAAATCAGGGTCAAAACCAATGCCGTAATTGGTACTTTACCAGTTTTATTTATTTCCCAGTAAATTATTTTTAAACGCATTCTCGTTTTCTATGCAAAATTACAACACAAATTCGATTTTGCACAATCGATGTTCTTAACTGACTAAAAAAGAGACCAATAGTTCAACGTTCGCTTGTGACATTATTAAAGTTGTTGTAGCAAAATTCGATTCTTCATAAAATAATAAATTATAAATAAATGCAATCCGAGGTAATCTTTCTAAAACGATTTGATGAAAACTCTCTGGATGAACCCGAGTGCAATAAGCGCAATTTTAATTTGTCGTTTCCTTATTTTTTACGATTGTACTGTCCTTGGCACTGTATCTGGTTTCTAAGTAAGCTTAAATTACATAGTTGTCGATTAGATCGTATTTGATTACACGGTAACCGTTCAAAAAAATTGCAGAAAAAAGTGATTAAAAAAAGATTAACCATAATCATTAGAATCGGTTGTTAAGATAACAATTAAATGTAATTTTTGTATAATTATTTGTTTAAAAAGGAATGGTTGAATTTTGTGCCATGCGCAAAGCTCAAAGTACAAATTGCAAAAACGTCCACTTTAAAGTTAATCTTAATGTTATGCAGAATTAATGAGACAATTTTCCAGAAAAGAACCTTGTAGTAACTTGATTATTTTGATGAAGATTCTACAAAAATAAATCATATAAACAAGCGTGTTTTTTTCATATTTTCGAAGAATTTGGTGCGAAATGGAATAAAATTATAATTAATACAACGTTTGCGAATTAAATTTGCTTCTTATTTTATCGCAATATCTTAATTTATTCTTAAGATACGATTTTTTAAAATTTTCATTGACATAATCACCTTGATATCGAGATGCTTCTATTAAAAAAACCCAATGATTTAAAAAAATCTCTTTATCACATTGAAATCTTATTAAATTTCATTTAAATTACTGCTTATTTCATCTTAATATCTCAATTAGTTTTTGAGATATAATTTTTTAAAGATGGTGGGGTTTAAAATTACATGATTTTGCAAGGTTGAATTTAAAAAATCATTATTCCAACGTTTTTGTATTTAAAGAAATGAGGTTCGATGTATTTTATATTAATTAAATTTGCTTTAAAGTGCTTCTTATTTCATTGCAATATCTCAATCGGTTCTTGAGATACCATTTTTTTTAAATTTTCATTGACATAATCACCTTGATTATCGAAATGCTTGTATTCAAAAAATGCTAATAATTTAAACAAATTCTCTTCATCACATTAAAACCTTATTAAATTTCATTTAAATTGCTACTTATTTCATCTTAATATCTCAATTCGTTTTTGAGATATGATTCTTTAAATATGGTGGGGTTTCAAATTGCGTGACTTTGGTTTTGTAGAGTTGAATTTAAAAAATCATAACTCCAACATTTTTGAATGTAAAGAAATGAGCTTCGATATATTTAATATTAATTAAATTTGCTTTAAAGTGCTTCTTATTTCATTGTGATATCTCAATTGGTTCTTGAGATACGATTTTTTTAAATTTTCATTGGCATAATCACCTTGACTATCTAGATGCTTGTATTCAAAAAATCCTAATGATTTACACAAAATCTCATCATGACATTAAAACCTTATTAAATTTCATTTAAATTGCTGCTTATTTCAGCGTAATATCTCAATTAGTTTATGAGATATGATTCTTTAAATAGTTTGAGGTTTAAAATTGCGTGACTTTGGTTTTGTAGGGTTGAATTTAAAAAATCATTACTAGAACGTTTTTGAATTTAAAAAAATGAGCTTCGATATGTTTAATATTAATTAAATTTGCTTTAAAGTGCTTCTTATTTCATTGCAATATCTCAATTGGTTCTTGAAATATGATTTTTTTAAATTTTCATTGACATAATCACCTTGATTATCGAGATGCTTGTTTTCAAAAAATCCTAATGATTTACACAAAATCTCATCATGACATTAAAACCTTATTAAATTTCATTTAAATTGCTGCTTATTTCATCTTAATATCTCAATTCGTTTTTGAGATATGATTCTTTAAATATGGTGGCGTTTAAAATTGCGTGACTTTGGTTTTGTAGGGTTGAATTTAAAATATCATAACTCCAACATTTTTGAATTTAAAGAAAGGAGCTTCGATGTCTTTAATACTAATTAAATTTACTTTAAAGTGCTTCTTATTTCATTGCAATATCTCAATTGGTTCTTGAGATATGATTTTTTTAAATTTTCATTGACATAATCACCTTGATTATCGAAATGCTTGTATTCAAAAAATCCTAATGATTTACACAAATTCTCATCATGACATTAAAACCTTATTAAATTTCATTTAAATTGCTCTTACTTCAGCGTAATATCTCAATTAGTTTATGAGATATGATTTTTTAAAGATGGTGGGGTTAAAAATTGCGTGATTTTGGTTTGCAGAGTTGAATTTAAAATATCATAACTCCAACATTTTTGAATTTAAAAAAATGAGCTTCGATATATTTAATATTAATTAAATTTGCTTTAAAGTGCTTCTTATTTCATTGCGATATCTCAACTGGTTCTTGAGATATGATTTTTTTAAATTTTCATTGACATAATCACCTTGATTATCAAAATGCTTGTATTCAAAAAATCCTAATAATTTGAACAAATTCTCTTCATCATATTAAAACCTTATTAAATTTCATTTAAATTGCTGCTTATTTCATCTTAATATCTCAATTCGTTTTTGAGATATGATTCTTTAAATATGGTGGGGTTCAAAATTGCGTGATTTTGGTTTTGCAGGGTTGAATTTAAAAAATCATAACTCCAACATTTTTGAATTTAAAGAAATGAGCTTCGATATGTTTAATATTAATTAAATTTGCTTTAAAGTGCTTCTTATTTCATTGCAATATCTCATTTGGTTCTTGAGATATGATTTTTTTAAATTTTCATTGACATAATCACCTTGATTATCTATCTAGATGCTTGTATTCAAAAAATCCTAATGATTTACACAAATTGTCATCATGACATTAAAACCTTATTAAATTTCATTTAAATTGCTGCTTATTTCATCGTAATATCTCAATTAGTTTATGAGATATGATTTTTTTAAGATGGTGGGGTTGGGTTAAAAATTGCGTGATTTTGGATTTGCAAGGTACAATTTAAAAAATCATAACTCCAACATTTTTGAATATAAAAAAATGAGCTTCGATATATTTAATATTAATTAAATTTGTTTTAAAGTGCTTCTTATTTCATTGCGATATCTCAATTGGTTCTTGAGATATGATTTTTTTAAATTTTCATTGACATAATCACCTTGATTATCGAGAAGCTTGTATTCAAAAAATTCTAATGATTTAAACAAATTCTTTTCATCACATTAAAACCTTATTAAATTTCATTTAAATTGCTGCTTATTTCAGCGTAATATCTCAATTAGTTTATGACATATGATTTTTTAAAGATGGTGGGGTTAAAAATTGCGTGATTTTGGTTTGCAGTGTTGAATTTAAAATATCATAACTCCAACGTTTTTGAATTTAAAAAAATGACCTTCGATATATTTAATATTAATTAAATTTGCTTTAAAGTGCTTCTTATTTCATTGCGATATCTCAATTGGTTCTTGAAATACGATTTTTTAAAATTTTCATTGACATAATCACCTTGATTATCGAAATGTTGTATTCAAAAAATCCTAATAATTTAAACAAATTCTTTTCATCACATTAAAACCTTATTAAATTTCATTTAAATTGCTGCTTATTTCAGCGTAATATCTCAATTAGTTTATGACATATGATTTTTTAAAGATGGTGGGGTTAAAAATTGCGATATCTTCATTGACATAATCATCTTGATTATCGAGATGTTTGTACTTAACAGATCCTAATGATTTAAAAAAAGTTTTCTTATCACATTAAAACCTTATTAAATTTCATTTAAATTGCTGCTTATTTCATGGCGATATCTCAATTAGTTTTTGAGATATGATTTTTTAAAGATGGTTTGGTTTAAAATTGCGTGATTTTGGTTTTACAGGGTTGAATTGAAAAAATCATAACTCAAACATTTTTGAATTTAAAGAAATGAGGTTCGATGTATTTAATATTAATTAAATTTGCTTTAACGTGCTTCTTATTTCATTGTGATATCTCAATTGGTTCTTGAGATATGATTTTTTAAAGATGGTGGGGTTAAAAATTTTGGTTTGCAGTGTTGAATTTAAAATATCATAACTCCAACATTTTTGAATTTAAAGAAATGAGCTACGATATATATAATATTAATTAAATTTGCTTTAAAGTGCTTCTTATTTCATTGCGATATCTCTATTGGTTCTCAGATGGTTCTTCAGATACGTTTTTTGTTTCAATTTTTTACGATTTACTAATAATAAATAGCATATTATTTACTTGAATGCATTTATGAACAGTATGGTTTTTGTTGACTCTGTTTTTTTATAATATGTTATCTATGACTACTTGCAATGAATCAACTCGCCGCTATCTTGCATTGCTATTTTGCAAATTATATCTCAGATATATTATATTAAAAAATAATAATAAACAACATTTATGTTAGCAATAATTATAAAAAAATTCTTACCATGCATCGGTCCAATGACCACCATAACCACCAACATTAACAGTAAAACTTTGCTTTTCCTATTGGCTTCTCCTCTTTTGAAGGCCACTTTGAAGGTTTCCACAATATGATGATAATCGAAGAAATCTCTAACGAAAGCGCACGGTTTATTTGATAACGTAGGAACGTCGACTTTTTTCCTCTCCTCGATTTTATAGTAACCATAAAGAAAAGCAATCACATACAACACTGCCGATATCGAAAAGACACCGTAAAACCCGATCTTCTTAAATAAAATTCCACTTAGTGCTAACCCAACCGGAACTCCAAGTGATGAAAACACGTTTACAATGCCAATCCTAAGAGTTCTCGTCTCCAAACTGGTTATATCTGCTATGTAACTAAAAACTCCCATAAACATTGTAAACCAACCTCCGGTCAATGCCGGAAATAAACCTTCTATGAAAGCGTTAACTTCCATTGGGAGTTCTTCAAAAAAATACGTACATAACATTAATCCCATAACCGTTAAAAATTCCCCAACAATCGGAAGAAGCATGCATGGTTTTCTTAACCCCCATCGATCACTCCACGAACCGATAAAAAGAATTAAAAAAGCTGGCAAAGCACTTTGAAGAATCGTTTTCCAAACGGTCATGGAAGCGACTAATTGTTGAACTTCTTGTTCTTCCATTGTGTAATTCGCGGTATCTCTCCGACTCAATGCATCGCAAACCTCCTTAGGATAAGCCAAATTTACCCGACAAGCTTTTTCTATGCTTAAATTTTGCGTGGCCAAACTGGCTAAAACGCACGGCATTATGTAACACGCCACAATCGGTTCAACCGTTATATTCGCTTTAAGAAGTTTACATTTTTCGGTAAAATTAAGGTCATTCCATATTGAAAAACTATCTTGTTTTTGAAGCGGAGCTTTCGATTGGGGTTGTTTCTTTTCAGGTTTTGCGTCAGACGTTGGCTTTTCGCTTATTTGGGCCATTTCTTTTCAATCTGTAACAAGAATTAATTGATTTAAAGTTTTTTATCTGAATTAAAAAATTTATATCTCAAAAACTAAAAGTGATATTTCAAAACGGACTTGATCATTGGAAACTAGATGCTTTANCAATCTGTAACAAGAATTAATTGATTTAAAGTTTTTTATCTGAATTAAAAAATTTATATCTCAAAAACTAAAAGTGATATTTCAAAACGGACTTGATCATTGGAAAATAGATGCTTTAGTGGATGATTAGTAATAATTTCAGAAAGATTTTTTAAAAAATCGATTTTTCATGAATTTTTATAGTTAAGCTAGAAAAGCTTAATATTTGTAACAAATTTCGAATGACTTCAAAACTTTATATCTTAAGAACTAAAAGTGATATTTCAAAACGGACTTGATCATTGAAAATTAGATGCTTTAATGGATGATTAGTGATAATTTCAGAAAGATTTTCTAAAAAATCGATTTTTCACGAATTTTTATAGTTAAGGTAGGAAAGCTTAATATTTGTAAAAAATTTCGAATGACTACAAATCTTTATATCTTAAGAACTAAAAGTGATATTTCAAAACGGACTTAATCATTGAAAATTAGATGCTTTAATGGATGATTAGTGATAATTTCAGAAAGATTTTCTAAAAAATCGATTTTTCACGAATTTTTATAGTTAAGGTAGGAAAGCTTAATATTTGTAAAAAATTTCGAATGACTACAAATCTTTATATCTTAAGAACTAAAAGTGATATTTCAAAACGGACTTAATCATTGAAAAATAGATGCTTTAATGGATGATTAGTGATAATTTCAGAAAGATTTTCTAAAAAATCGATTTTTCACGAATTTTTATAGTTAAGGTAGGAAAGCTTAATATTTGTAAAAAATTTCGAATGACTACAAATCTTTATATCTTAAGAACTAAAAGTGATATTTCAAAACGGACTTAATCATTGAAAAATAGATGCTTTAATGAATGATTAATGATAAATTCAGAAAGATTTTCCAAGAAATCGATTTTTCACGAATTATTATAGTTAAGGTAGAAAAGTTTAATATTTGTAAAAAATTTCGAATGACTTCAAATCTTTATATCTTAAGAACTAAAAGTGATATTTCAAAACGGACTTGATCATTGAAAAATAGATACTTTAATGCATGATTGGTGATAATTTCAGAAAGATTTTCTAAGAAATCGATTATTCACGAATTTTTATAGTTAAGGTAGACAAGCTTAATATTTATAAAAAATTTCCAATGATTTCATATCTTTATATCTTAAGAACTAAAAGTGATATATCAAAACGGACTTGATCATTGAAAAATAGATCCTTTAATGAATAATTAATGATAAATTCAGAAAGATTTTCCAAGAAATCGATTTTTCACGAATTTTTATAGTTAAGGTAGAAAAGTTTAATATTTGTAAAATATTTCGAATGACTTCAAATCTTTATATCTTAAGAACTAAAAGTGATATTTCAAAATGGACTTGATCATTGAAAAATAGATACTTTAGTGGATGATTGGTGATAATTTCAGAAAGATTTTCTAAGTAATCGATTTTTCACGAATTTTTATAGTTATGGTAGAAAAGCTTAACATTTGTAAAAAAATTTCGAATGACTTCAAATCTTTATATCTTAAGAACTAAAAGAGATATTTCAAAACGGACTCGATCATTGAAAAATAGATGGTTTAATGCATGATTGGTGATAATTTCAGAAAGATTTTCTAGGAAATCAATTTTTCACGAATTTTTATAGTTAAGGTAGAAAAGCTTAATATTTGTAAAAAATTTCGAATGACTTCAAATCTTTATATCTTAAGAACTAAAAGTGATATTTCAAAACGGACTTGATCATTGAAAAATAGATGCTTTATTGGATGATTGGTGATAATTTCAACAAGACTTTATAAAAAATCGATTTGCACGAATTTTTATAGTTAAGGTAGAAAAGCTTAACATTTGTAAAAAATTCAAATGACTTCAAATCTTTATATCTTAAGAACTAAAAATGATATTTCAAAACGGACTTGATCATTGAAAAATAGATACTTTAATGCATGATTGGTGATAATTTCAGAAAGATTTTCTAAGTAATCGATTTTTCACGAATTTTTATAGTTATGGTAGAAAAGTTTAATATTTGTAAAAAATTTCGAATGACTTCAAATCTTTATATCTTAAGAACTAAAAGTGATATTTCAAAACGGACTCGATCATTGAAAAATAGATGCTTTAATGCATGATTGGTGATAATTTCAGAATGATTTTCTAGGAAATCGATTTTTCACGAATTTTTATAGTTAAGGTAGACAAGCTTAATATTTGTAAAAATTTCGAATGATTTCAAATCTTTATATCTTAGGAACTAAAAGTGATATCTGAAAAAAGACTTGATCATTGAAAAATAGATGCTTTAATGGATGATTGGAGATAATTGCAAAAAGATTTTCCAAGAAATCGATTTTTCACAAATTTTTACAGTTAAAGTAGAAAACCTTAATATTTGTAAAAGCTTCGAATGACTTCAAATCTTTATATCTTAAGAACTAAAAGTGATATATCAAAACGGACTTGATCATTGAAAAATAGATGCTTTAATGGATGATTGGTGATAATTTCAAAAAGATTTTCTAAAAAATCGATTTTTCACGAATTTTTATAGTTAAGGTAGAAAAGCTTAATATTTGTAAAAAATTTCGAATGACTTCAAATCTTTATATCTTAAGAGCTAAAAGTGATATTTCAAAACGGACTTGATAATTGGAAATTAGATGCCTTAACGGATGATTGGTGATAATTTCAGAAAGATTTTCCAAGAAATCGATTTTTCACGAATTTTTATAGTTAAGATAGAAAAGTTTAATATTTGTAAAAAATTTCGAATGACTTCAAATCTTTATATCTTAAGAACTAAAAGTGATATTTCAAAACGGCCTTGATCACTGAAAAATAGATGCCTTAATGGATGATTGGTGATAATTTCAGAAAGATTTTCTAAGAAATCGATTTTTCACGAATTTTTGTAATTAAGGTAGAAAAGCTTAATATTTGTAAAAAATTTCGATTGACTTCAAATCTTTATATCTTAAGAACTAAAAGTGATATATCAAAACGGACTTGATCATTGAAAAATAGATGTTTTAATTTATGATTAGTGATAAATTCAGAAAGATTTTCCAAGAAATCGATTTTTCACGAATTATTATTGTTAAGGTAGAAACACTTAATATTTGTAAAAAATTTCGATCGACTTCAAATATTTATATCTTAAGAACTAAAAGTGATATTTCAAAACGAACTTGATCATTGCAAAATAGATGCTTTAATGGATGATTGGTGATAATTTCAAAAAGATTTTCTAAAAAATCGATTTTTCACGAATTTTTATAGTTAAGGTAGAAAAGCTTAACATTTGTAAAAAATTTCGAATGACTTCAAATCTTTATATCTTAAGAAATAAAAGTGAACGGACTTTATCATTGAAAAATAGATACTTTAATTTATAATAGATGACAATTTTATAAAACTTTCCAATCTTGAAAATAAAGCATAATTTTTAAATTAAAATCCTTCGGGTTCGTAATTTATCTAAGAATTTTATCAACAAGTTGTTCCACAAACATCTTAAGAATCTTATGTAATTTACCAGCTTTAAAGAAGTGAATGCAAACTTTTGTATCATCAATTGGTTACGGATTACCTTTCCTCGACGGCGGAATAAAACCCAAGGCTACAACACTATCATTTCGATTTGATGATTTCGGCAAGGCTAGAATATACGTAAAGATTTCGCAAGAACCAGTTGCAATTAAAATCTTAATAACCTCACCTTATTAAATAAATATGTTGAACTTCTCTACATCTTAAGAAGTAGCATTAAAATATTCTAACGGTTATAACTTTTTAAAAAAAGGCAACTAAAAAGATTATCGTTGTTTAAAATTCTTCTTCTCTTGAGTACAATAGTACTTACAAAAACGAATGAGTAGACATCAAAATACCGTTAATGTAGCTTAGGCATTTAAAGATTAGGTTTCATTTTAAACACTCAACGTCTTCCCATTTATTTAACCTTAGGCTAATAGAGATCGGCCTTATTTTTTATTTTCTCTAAAACGTGTAATGGATGAGATGTCTAAGTTAAGCAGAATACCTCAACTAGATCTGGTTGCGGAATTTGAAATCACGAAACACGATCTGTATGTTTTGACCAAAGTTGAGAGTTGGATGGGTTGAGTTTTGAACAATAAAGGAGTCTACGACCTCCGTAAGATGTAAGAAAATGTTTATTAAAGGTAAATTGTTAAAATGTGGGTCAATGCAACATCGTTTTGTTGTTAATCGTCTCGAACGAAGTCGTGAATTGAAAATTATGATTAACACCGTGATAGATAAAATATAAAATTCATCAATACTGAGTAATAAGGTATTTAATGATATCGCTCGTATTGCTAATACTAAAAAGAATTAAAAAAATGTTCATTATCTGATACGAATAGTATTCTGAACGTGTAGAAATGAAGGTGATTTAAATTTGTTTTTAACTATGTGGGATTTACCCAGGATTTTTTATGGAAATTTAATAAACAGAAAGAGAAATATTATTTCCGCTACTTTCCATTTAACAACAACTTTCTCCTAGTCCACACTCAACATGAAACCCGTATTCACAAGATTACAACAAACTTCTCGCTTAATCAGCTTTTAGTTACAATCCCGGTAACAACAATTACTTACATAATAGGAAGTAATTTTAGAACCCACAAAAAAATTCAAGGTGATTAAAAAAGCTATAAAAATAATGTTTCAAAAACAACAACGTAAAAGGTGTTAACAATTATTAACTTAAAAAATGTGTTAGAAATGTCTTACCTATTAAAACAAATCGATTATTTTATAAATTATAAAGAATTTGATTCATACATTTATTTTATAAATAAAATAAATTTTTTTTACTTCGATAAAATCAATTTTTTTAACTTAAAAGTGTTGCGCTTGTTGGGGAACTACAGAACCACTTGTAACTGACACAGAAACACGACAGAGTTCGTATCGGCACAGTTGAACCTGCGTGTTTAACGTTGTAACTCGCAAAATGCAAATGGTCGTGTGTGGTTCGGCCTCCCACTTTGACTTATACAGGGCGATTCCGTCCAAAAACCATACCAATATTATTGTTATAATCCCAATTAAACTCTTAAAACGTTTGGGGTAATAACTTTCTTATTAGCTAATTGAATTTGCTTCTAATGCGCCATCAAAACCCAATCAATTGATTTATGGCTTCTTTTCTTTTGCAATTTGAACAATAAGTTAACCAAAGTTTTAATAATTTCAATGTACGTCAAGATTTATTGTGTTTAGGAAACAATTTTTTCCACTATAATAGTTGCCATTAATTAAAACCGTCGGGCCTTTATGAGTAATTATACAATTATGATCGTTACTAGGAAGTAATTTCCTTGAATAGTACGTTTATTTAAGATTGATGATAAACAAACAAATTTAGTTAACAGTAATCAAGCAGTTCTAAATCTAGATTTAATTAAACAAATTGTTTGCCAAATCAATTTAAAACACCTTGAGCATTTTGTGTGGAGCCAATAAAATGTGTTATTAAATTTGCAACCTGAGCTGCTATAAGTAAAAGTAAAAGTCATACAAGTCTAATAAGATTTTATTAAAATAATTTCCTTTCTAACTAATAGATATTTGAAAACTATTCGTTATATCTTAAGAATCAAAAGTGATATTTCAAAACGGACTTGATCATTAAAAAATAGATGCTTTCATTGATATTTTGTAGTAATTTTATAAACATTTATAATTTTTCACGAATTTTTAAAGTTAAGGTGGTAAAACTTAAAATGAATTGAAACGTTTATATCTCAAAAACTAAAACTGATGTCTGAAAATGGATTTAACCAATAAAAAATAGATGCTTTAATAAATGATTGGTGATAATTTCAGAAAGATTTTCCAAGAAATCGATTTTTCGCGATTTTTTAAAGTTAAGGTGGGTAAAACTTAGAATTTGTTACAAATTTCCGATGAATTGAAATTTTTATATCTCAAAAACTAAAAGTGATATTTGATCAACAAAAAATAGATGCTTTAAAGGATGATTGGTGATAATTTCAGAAAGATGTTCCAAGAAATCAATTTTTCACGAATTTTTAAGATAAGGTGGAAAAGCTTAATATTTGTAAAAAATTTCGATTGACTTCAAATCTTTATATCTTAAGAACTAAAAGTGATACTTCAAAACGGACTTGATCATTGAAAAATAGATGCTTTAGTGGATGATTGGTGATAATTTCAGAAAGATTTTCCAAGAAATCGATTTTTTAAAAATTTTTAAAGTTAAGGTAGAAAAACTTAATATGTGTAAAAAATTTCGATTGACTTCAAATCTTTATATCTTAAGAACTAAAACTGATATTTCAAAACGGACTTGATCATTGAAAAATAGATGCCCTAATGGATGATTGTTGATAATTTCAGAAAGATTTTCTAAGAAATCGATTTTACACAAATTTTTAAAGATAAGGTCGTAAAACTTAAAATTTGTTACAAATTTCCGTTGAATTAAAATAGATTTATCTCAAAAACTAAAAGTGATATTTTAAAATGGACACCATCATCGAAAAATAGATGCTTCACTGTATCATTAGTGATAATTTCAGAGAGATTTTCTAAGAAATCGATTTTTCATGAATTTTTATAGTTAATGTAGAAAAGCTTAATATTTGTACAAAATTTCGAATGACTTCAAATCTTTATATCTTAAGAACTAAAAGTGATATTTCAAGACGGACTTGATCATTGAAAAATAGATACTTTAATGCATGATTGGTGATAATTTCAGAAAGATTTTCTAAGAAATCGATTTTTCACGAATTTTTATAGTTAAAGTAGAAAACCTTAATATTTGTAAAAAATTTCGAATGACTTCAAATCTTTATATCTTAAGAACTAAAAGTGATATTTCAAAACGGACTTGATCATTGAAAAATAGATGCCTTAATGGATGATTGGTGATAATTTCAGAAAGATTTTCTAAGAAATCGATTTTTCACGAATTTTTATAGTTAAGGTAGAAAAGCTTAATATTTGTAAAAAATTTCGAATGACTTCAAATCTTTATATCTTAAGAACTAAAAGTGATATTTCAAAACGGACTTGATCATTGAAAAATAGATACTTTAATGGATGATTGGTGATAATTTCAGAAAGATTTTCTAAGAAATCGATTTTTCACGAATTTTTATAGTTAAGGTAGAAAAGCTTAATATTTGTAAAAAATTTCGATTGATTTCAAATCTTTATATCTTAAGAACTAGTGATGTAAAAAAAGTAACTATTCGTTACACGAGTACTCGTTACTAAGCGAGATCCGAAGTAACTGTTACCGTATCACATCGGTACCAGTTACTTTGGATCTAACAGTTACTTTTTCCAAAGCTTGCCAAGTATTGTCTGATAGGCGAAATCGACTTAAAAGTCGAAATGTGCAAAAAAAATTATTTTTACATTGCAATAATAAGCTGTAATATCTTTTATTGTTGTTTTAATATTTTTATTTTATTATTGCTTGATTTATAGAAGAAGTTTTGTTTTCCATTGTTAATTTGTTACAACTTTCAAATATTTTTGTTATATAATAAGAGAAACGTAAGTTATTAATAATTAAATAATAATAATTAAGAAAAATTCTTTGCTATAATATGCAGTGAAAAAGTAAATCCCATAACCTACACTCTATTTTCTGATATTAGTGCACAGTGCATTACTATGCATACTACGCTACTGCGTAACAAACACAATATAACATACGTACAGTATTTGTTTTCAAAAATAAGTCTAATATAAAATAAATTGATATAAGTATGTAGTTCAACTAAAACGAGTACTCTATCGCAAACGAGTAATCGAACCTCGAGCGCAAACAAGTATTCGAACCTCAAGCGCAAGCGAGTACTCGAACGCACATGCAAACGATTACTTATAACGAGTAACGAGTACAAAGTAACGAATACTTTTTCTGAAAGTAACGGATAGTTAAAAATACTAAAAAGTAACTAAACTTTACATCACTATTAAGAACTAAAAGTGATACTTCAAAACGGACTTAATCATTGAAAAATAGATGCTTTAGTGGATGTTTGGTGATAATTTCGGAAAGATTTTCCAAGAAATCGATTTTTCACGAATGTTTATAGTTAAGGTAGATAAGCTTAATATTTGTAAAAAATTTCGATTGATTTCAAATCTTTATATCTTAAGAACTAAAAGTGATACTTCAAAACGGACTTGATCATTGAAAAATAGATGCTTTAGTGGATGTTTGGTGATAATTTCGGAAAGATTTTCCAAGAAATCGATTTTTCACGAATTTTTATAGTTAAGGTACAAAAGCTTCTATAAGTGTAAAAAATTTTGATTGACTTCAAATCTTTATATCTTAAGAACTAAAAGTGATATTTCAAAACGGACTTGATCATTGAAAAATAGATTCCTTAATAGATGATTGTTGATAATTTCAGAAAATTTTTCTAAGAAATCGATTTTTCACGAATTTTTATAGTTAAGGTAGAAAAGCTTAATATTTGTAAAAAATTTCGTATGACTTCAAATCTTTATATCTTAAGAACTAAAAGTGATATTTCAAAACGGACTTGATCATTGAAAAATAGATGCCTTAATGGATGATTGGTGATAATTTCAGAAAGATTTACTAAGAAATCGATTTTTCACGAATTTTTATAGCTAAGGTAGAAAAAATTAATATTTGTAAAAAAATTCGAATGACTTCAAACGTTTATATCTTAAGAACTAAAAGTGATATTTCAAAACAGACTTGATCATTGAAAAATAGATGCTTTAGTGGATGATTGGTGATAATTTCAGAACGATTTTCTAAGAAATCGATTTTTCACGAATTTTTAAAGTTAGGGTGGAAAAGCTTAATATTTGTAAAACATCTCGAATGACTTCAAACCTTTATATCTTAAGAACTAAAAGTGATATTTCAAAACGGACTTCATCATTGAAGAATGAGTTACTTTAGTTTACAATCGGTGATAATTTCTTCTTCAAATCTTCCTTCATAACTTCTTTAGTCCTGATCACTCTGCATCGATATAGAAACTTCATTTTGTGTTTTAGTCATAGACCCAACAATTTTATGACTTTTATGGATTTTATCTCGTATTTACTTCTTTTTATTATACATTCTTGTTGAATTTCTCATATTTTCTCATATTGATGAAGGTGAGTTTACATCTTTTTGCATTTTATCAATATGTATCATTTATTTGGACAAGATAAAAGTGACCATCCGGTTGAGGCGCTTCGTAATCTCTCGTGAAATCCACTTGAAATAGAATGATGAGTCACGCCTGATTCTGAACAATAATCCTTAACTTTCTTTGTCGCAAAAGCTGTGCAAAACTGTTTGAACAAACTCCTTTGTAGTTGTTACTTTGACTGGGGATGCATTAATTTCAAATAACTTTTAAACACTGGCAGCTTTAAATATGCCTCTCATAACTTCAGTTCATAAAACAACCCAACTTTAAAAAAATTATTACAAATTTTTCCACGAAGCCCTTGAATTAAACAACACCTTTTTGTTATTAGAGTACTTTTTTCATTTCCTTTTTAATTCAATTTAAATTCACTTCAAAGAAAAAAGAAATTAACTAAAAAATTAAATTGTAATTACGACAACCCACCAACAATAATCGTGATTTAGTGACGCAAACGCAACAATTTTTTTCCGGCTGTTCGCATCTCGGCACGCAAATTATCGTGTACTACAAAAACAGAGTGTAAATTTCCGATTAAGATCCATATTAAATTGTATTAAAAAATTTTCCTACTCTAAATTGAGTGCTTGTTTAATTTTGTTTTGAAATTGAAAATTTTTATTCAAATAACAAGGTAACATTTTGATGTTAGAACGCTTACAACACACTACCTTCAATGATATCGTCGTCGATTTTCGTCCGCTCTCACATGGCACAACCCACTAAAACGGCACAATTAGCAAATTGTCACCGCACATTATTCGGTTTAGGTGCGAGAAGACACATTCAAACCACTCTCTAAACTCTCAACTAGTACTATTATAGTAACACCAAAACCGTTCACGTGTCGAGAGATGAACACACGGTCCTCCACGTTTAATTATTTTTTATTAACAAACGGACGCGTTTTAAAAAGAGAACTATATCTATAGAGAACGTTTTTTTTTCTACTTTTAGATGGCCTTTCTTTTGCCTCGACACCAACGACGATGATAACGATGAGAAAGTGCTAAAATGAAACTACGGAGTGAGAGAAAAACTCCACGAATTGAAACGAGTCTGGAAGATGTTTTACCAAATCAGTAAGTAGATGGGGAAGCTTTTCTTTCGCCTTAAGCCGGTTACAAAACCTGGTTAATTAGACGAGTTCATTTTGCTTTAAAGAAAAACGAATCCTAAAAGATCTTTGAAATGTTTTAAGAAGATTACAAAAAGTTTCTTCTTAAAGTAAAAAAAACAGGTTATCTAAGTTAATAGATTAATTAAATTGCAAATCAATACCGTGCTTAGATACAAATCAAAACAATTTATTGGAATCTCTATAAAATAAAGTACTATAAACGTCCTCGGAAATACAAAACATCCACGTAAAGTTCAATTGATAATCATTTATAGTGTCTCGATTCGATTGTTCTACCGGTGTTGTTTTCCTTCAATGTCTTGTTACAACATCCTCACGAATACGTGGTGTAACCATACTTGTTAATAATTTTATGTGTTTATTGTTTCGAATAGTAATCAATTTATATTTCAAAAACTAAAAGTGTTATTTCAAAACGGACTTGATCATTGAAAAATAGATGCTTTAATGGATGATTAGTGATAATTTCAGAAAGATTTTCTAAATAATCGATTTTTTACGAATTTTTATAGTTAAGGTAGAAAAGCTTAATATTTGTAAAGAATTTTGAATGGCTTCAAATCTTTATATCTTAAGAACTAAAAGTGATATTTCAAAACGGACTTGATCAGTGAAAAATAGATACTTTAATAGATGATTGGTGATAATTTCAGAAAGATTTTCTAAGAAATCGATTTTTCACGAATTTTTGTAGCTAAGGTAGAAAAGCTTAATATTTGTAAAAAAAATCGAATGACTTCAAATCTTTATATCTTAAGAACTAAAAGTGATATTTCAAAACGAACTTGATCATCGGGAATCAGATGCTTTAATGGATGATTGGTGATAATTTCAGAAAGATTTTTTAAGAAATCGATTATTCACGAATTTTTGTAGCTAAGGTAGAAAAGCTTAATATTTGTAAAAAATATCGAATGACTTCAAATCTTTATATCTTAAGAACTAAAAGTGATATATCAAAACGGACTTGATCATTGAAAAATGGATACTTTAATGGATGATTGGTGATAATTTCAGAAAGATTTTTTAAGAAATCGACTTTTCAGGAATTTTTATAGTTAAGGTAGAAAAGCTTAATATTTGTAAAACTTTCGAATTACTTCGATATCTTTATATCTTAAGAACTAAAAGTGATATTTCAAAACGGACTTGATCACTGAAAAATAGATGTTTTAATGGATGATTGGTGATACTTTCAGAAAGATTTTCCAAGAAACCGATTTTTCACGAATTTTTATAGCTAAGGTAGAAAAGCTTAATATTTAAAAAAAATTTCGAATGACTTCAAATCCTTATATCTTAAAAACTAAAAGTGATATTTCAAAACGGACTTGATCATTGAAAAATAGACACTTTAATAGATGATTGGTGATAATTTCAGAAAGATTTTCTAAATAATCGATTTTTACGAGTTTTTATAGATAAGGTAGAAAAACTTAATATTTGTAAAAAATTTCGAATGACTTCAAATCTTTATATCTTAAAAACTAAAAGTGATATATCAAAACGGACTTGATCATTGAAAAATAGACACTTTAATGGATGATTGGTGATAATTTCAGAAAGATTTTCTAAATAATCGATGTTTTACGAGTTTTTATAGTTAAGGCAGAAAAGCTTAATATTTGTAAAAAATTTCGAATGACTTCAAATCTTTATATCTTAAGAACTAAAAGTGATATAGCAAAACGGACATGATCATTGAAAAATGGATACTTTAATGGATGATCGATGATAATTTCAGAAAGATTTTCTAAGAAATCGATTTTTCACGAATTTTTATAGCTAAGGTAGAAAAGCTTAATATTTGTAAAAATTTCGAATGACTTCAAATCTTTATATCTTTAGAACTAAAAGTGATATATCAAAACGGACTTGATCATTGAAAAATAGATACTTTAATGGATGATTGGTGATAATTTCAGAAAGATTTTCTAAATAATCGATTTTTTACGAATTTTTATCGTTAAGGTAGAAAAGCTTAATATTTGTAAAAAAGTTCGAATGACTTCAAACCTTTATATCTTAAGAACTAAAAGTGATATTTCAAAACGGATTTGATCATTGGGAATCAGATGCTTTAATGGATGATTGGTGATAATCTCAGAAAGATTTTCCGAGAAATCGATTTTTCACGAATTTTTTAAGCTAAGGTAGAAAAGCTTAATATTTGTAAAAATTTCGAATAACTTCAAATCTTTATATCTTAAGAACTAAAAGTGACATTTCAAAACGGACTTGATCATTGAAAAATAGACACTTTAATGGATGATTGGTGATAATTTCAGAAAGATTTTCTAATTAATCGATTTTTTACGAATTTTTATCGTTAAGGTAGAAAAGCTTAATATTTGTAAAAAATTTCGAATGACTTCAAATCTTTATATCTTAAGAACTAAAAGTAATATTTCAAAATGAACTTGATCATTGAGAATCAGATGCTTTAATGGATGATTGGTGATGATTTCAGAAAGATTTTCCGACGAATTTTTTAAGCTAAGGTAGAAAAGCTTAATATTTGTAAAAAAATTCGAATGACTTCAAACCTTTATATTTTAAGAACTAGAAGTGATATTTCAAAACGGACTTGATCATTGGGAATCAGATGCTTTAATGGATGATTGGTGATAATTTCAGAAAGATTTTCCGAGAAATCGATTTTTCACGAATTTTTATAGCTAAGGTAGAAAAGCTTAATATTTGTAAAAAATTTCGAATGACTTCAGATCTTTATATCTCAAGAACTAAAAGTGATATTTCAAAACGCACTTGATCATTGAAAAATAGATGCTTTAATGGATGATTCGTGACATCTTCAGAGCGATTTTCCAATAAATCGATTTTTTACGAATTTTTATAGTTAAGGTAGAAAAGCTTAATATTTATAAAACATTTCGAATGACTTCAAATCTTTATATCTTAAGAACTAAAAGCAATATTTCAAAACGGACTTGATCATTGGAAAATAGATACTTCAATGGACGATTCGTGATAATTTCAGAAAGATTTTCCAATAAATCGATTTTTCACAAATTTTTAAAGCTAAAGTGGTAAAACTTAAAACGTGTTACAAATTTCCGATGAATTGAAATGTTTATATCTCAAAAACTAAAAGTGATATTTCAGAATGGACTTGACCATTGAACAATAGATAAATTTCTAATATAAATAAATAATATAACAAACCTACACTACAAACCTTTATACAAACATTCCAACCCCAGATACATTAAAAATTCTTAAGAATATACCAATTATTTGAAATAAGAATAAAACAAAATTTTACCAGACTTATAACAAAGGCCTTCCAACCACTTAGTGGACTGTTGGCTGACGTCTTTCTGGATAATCTAGAGAATGAATTGGTTATTAACAACAGGAATCCCCATAGAGACAACATATTTCTTTGGCAAAGATATGTGGACGATGTCTTTGTTATCACAAATACAATTCGCATATTAACACATTGCAGGAAAACATAAAATTCACCTTAGAGACGAAAAAGGATAAAGTAAATTTTCTACACTTTTACTTTAAAAAGGACCAATGAAGGAATACATCTAGATATTTATAGAAAAGACACAAACAGTCGTATCACGACTAGACACAAAAACTAGCAGCTTATGTACACATATGTCAAAAATTTGGGGAACACTGTTCTAAGATGTCATCTTCTACGTCATCGTCACTACATTCTTGAACTAGACTAGATCATCGTCGGTCATGTGTTCACAGTCCAAAACATTCGAGTCAATATTTAGCCACTCCAGAATATTTTCGTCATCCAGCCCTGAACATATTTTACCCGCTGAAACATACATATCAAAAGGTTCATTCATCAAAACATTTTTCAATTGTGATATCTTTCACATTTTTTCCAGGCATACGACATGTGGTGTACAGCATCTCGAAGCGTAATTGATTTCCAAAACTGTACAGGAGCATTGTTATCTTTTGCGACCAGATCCATCATTAAATTTTTTCTGTACAACCTCCTCATTGTTTAAATTACACACATTTGTCACATTTGGCGGAAGATACAAAACTGTGATATTCCTGTTGAAGATCAATACTGCTTTTCAGGGAGTTCTTTACCGTCCATATATTTTTTTAGGTGTGGTACAAATTTATTTTTAAACCACCTTTTCAAAAATGTATCGTGTCCATCCATGCATAACGGTTGTTATAGTATTCGACTAGGAGTTTTTTTATATCTTTTAAAGCTCTAGGCGACTTTGACTTCCCCATTACAGTTAATTTTAGCTTATCTTCTCCAGTAGCATTTGAGCAACATAACACTTTTTTAGCAAATGCTGTATATTAGGGCAGGTCTCTTTAATAACGTGTCACAAAAAAATTGTAGCCGTTAGCGTCAGCACTAAGCTGTTCTAATTGAATTTGTAATTCTCTAATTTCATGCCTTTCTTTAAAACGTCGCAACCAACCTATTGAAAGTGTAAGTATTTCTAACTTTTCTGCAAAATATTGTGCTTTAACTAACACATACTGATCGGACATCGGCTCTCCTAGTGCTTTTTGCTGAAAAACCCACTTCACCATTACATTTTCCATTTTCTCACTCTGCGTACCTTTCATTATTTTCCTATGTGAAAGGCCAGCTGATGTTTTACACATAGAAACGAATATTTCAAATTTGGGCTACTGTTTCACTAAATCGCGTACGGTTTGTTGTCTAACTCCATATTCGTCAAACAGCAGAGACACTTTCATCATGTTCACGTTTAATTATTTCCAATTTTTTTCCACTGTTAAAACTATCCATTACTACAGTACAGAAACGCGCTACAATACAGTATGTACCTACGCAATACGAATTTACACAGGAAGAATGAAAACGAAAGAATTTGTTAAAATTAAAAAATATATAAATCACAAGCATGGTTAATCTAAACACGGATAATCGACACTTTACTGTAATTTTAAATTAAAACCAATACATTTATTTATTTTTAAATTTTTAATTCTTTTTAAAACCAAAATCTTGATTATTAAATTTCAACGCAGATTGTAGTCCACCATCAATATTAATAATTGGAACCCTCGGTTTTAATTGTTCACCTGGATTTTCATAAGCAACGCAATTCAAGCATTCACAATACTGATGAATTTTCTGTCTAATTCCTTTATTTTGCGATTCTAAAAATTTCTTTTCCTCGTACATGCTATATCGGATGGCATCCGCCTGTCCAAATCTTTTCCAAAACGTTTTTAATTCGTAGACGTCTCGAAAATACTCGCAATCCATTACGTTAACCTTAATGTTTTTCCCCAACATCGGGAATGGTAAAACTTTTTCTTGTATCGTTTCGTATTTACGACACATCGAGGCTAATTGCAAAATGTACGAACCTTTGGTTTCGATTTTTTTTAACGTATCCATCGCTTCGTTCGCTTCGATGGTGAACAAAGTCAATTTGCTGTCGTCGAAATTAAGTTCTTTTTCCAATTGTGATTTTAACGACCAAAAAGTGTCCGCGTAAAAGTATCTTTCGATGATTAAATCGCCCGCTTTTTGTCCGATGGAACGGTGTAATCTGGCCGTTTCATATTTTAACTTTCTAATTAACTCGAAAAGTTGGGCGATTCTTTCCAATTGATTTTGCATTAATGTGTTAACTTGTTCTTCGGCAGCGTTTAAAATCAAATATTGTTTTCTTTTTTGTGCCGTCTTATCATTGAATGATGTTACGAAATCCATTGTGTCGTTCCAAACTTTCATGTATTTCTCGTGGATATCAAAGCTTAATTTTTGAAGGGCTTCGTTGTTTTTATTTTGCTCGTCTTCCATTCTCGCGCAATATTCGCAACGAATGTATTGTTCGTGTTCTTTTTGCATCATTTCTAATCCGAATAACATCATGTTTAAAAAGTCGACATCATCTCTGTGTTTGCTCATTAATCGTTCAACTTCTAATTCGTTAAACATTCTCATATTGCGTACTTCCGCTTTGCTATCTTGGTTCAATGCTTCTAATTGTTCTTTAAATAATAAAAATAATTTATTTACGTTTTCGCAATGATTCCGAATGTTCATCATGTATTGCTCCTCAGCTTCGTTTATGGCATCCATTAATAGGGATATTTGAAAATCTTTGGCATCTATGGCTATTTCAAAATTATGCCAAGCGTATTCTAATTGCTTTTTTATTTCTGGGATTCCGATGCTGAGTAATAAATCTTTCCATGATTTCTCATGCCTTTTAACGGTTAATCGTCCATATTTTAATTCGCGTTGGAGTTCATCGATTTTTAATTGACGCGCTTTGATTGCAGCCAAACGTTTCTTTTCGGCTTTTTTCGCCGCTTTTAAAGCTTTTTTTTCTTCTTTTGATAATTTCGGCGACATATCGATTTAAGGATTAAAATTACTAATTTGACAATTTTATTGACATGGTTTTGTTTTATTATTATAATAAAAAGGAAACAAAAACAATTTATAAATTAAGATAAAATTTTTTAGGCTAAAAATCGATAAACAAGTAATCCTACAAGAAGTGTTAGCATTGAAGATTTCGTGGTGAACGTGCCGCCGTTATATTCTTTCAAATATTTATAAAGCGGGTCAAAGTATTCCATTAAAGCTGAGGCATCTAAAGCTTCTTCCTCAGTCATGGCTTTTAATACTTCTTTCCAATGTTTGCTGGAACCCAGTTTCAAACCAACACTGGAATAAATAAAATCATTATAACATTAATACAACAAGATTCTTTTTTTTACCTTAATTGTGAGCCGGCTTCTTTGGAAGTATAAAAATCGCATTTATGCAAAGGTTTGCTGCTATCTTTAGGGTCATATTGTCCAGCAGTAATGCAAAGACTCCTATAAAATTGGAACTCCAAAACGTGTGCAACGAAATAGCTAATATACTGGTAATCCCCGGCAACGTGGAACTTCGCGCCGGGATCAAAATCGGTTTCGCTTCTTTGAACGGGAGGTTTAACTTTTTGAATGTTCTTTCTGTACTCCCACCATTTAGCGTTCCATTGATCTTCTGCAACCTCCCCACTAAAGACGTCCCACCTCCATTTATCGATTAATAATCCAAAGGGTAAGAAAGCCACACGCTCCAAAGCCATATCCATTAAAGCGTTTATCGAAGCTTCTTCAGTATCTTTGTAATCTTTTAATAACTCAATTTTTTCTAAGTGCTGTGGGGTGGCAACTGAAAGAGCGATTGTATCGCCGACGGCTTCGTGAAAACCTGGATTAGCACCATCTCTTAATACAATAGGTTGATCTTTGTATTGTAAATAATATTGTATGTGGCCCATTTCGTGGTGAACCGTTATAAAATCTTCGTAATCAACTTCAGTACACATTTTGATCCTGAACGTTTTTGCGTCATAGAAATCCCAAGCAGAAGCGTGACATAAAACTTCTTTATCATTTGGTTTAATAATCATTGAATCATCACCATACGAAACGGAGTTGTCCAAAAGTCCTAAAGATTTGTAAAACTCGTTGGACATTTCAAACATTTTCTTGACGTCATAGCCAGCTTCTTGCATCGCTTTAGTAACGTCTACTTCGCTTTCATTTGGATATGGTTTAACTAATGGGGAGAGATTTATCCAAGATTGTGCCCACATATTTCCAAAAACGTGCGCGGGAATTAAACCATCTTCAATATCAATTTTATCTCCATATTTCTCTTTTAATTTACCACCAACGTACTTATGTAATTCATCGTACAAAGGCTCTATAGTTTTCCATAACTCTTCAAGGTTCTCAACGAAACCATCCGTTTCAAACGAAGACATCCACATCTCCCCTTTATCGGTGAAACTGTTCGCTTTGGCTGCTTCGTTAGATAATTCAACATACGTTTTATAGAGATTTCTCATTTTTGCACCGCTAGCCTTCCTCCATTCGGTCCAAGCGTACTCCAATTCATCGTAATCGTTTGATTTCGATAAAATCGATTCTATACCAGGTTCTAAATTTAAACCATCCTTTGAAAGATCACATTCTTTGTTAGTGTAAGGACAAATTTTTGCTGCACTGTAAATGTTGGTCATATCCGCAATTGTAGTTGTTAACTGAAATGAACATAACACAATTAATACCATTCTTTTAGATAATGAAAAATTTAGATTATTGGACTAAACGTAACTTAGGTTAGGTTATTAGCCTCAGAAATTCAGAAGTATGTTCAATGAATTCAATTCAATAAGATTTTTTGTTAAATCAGGAAAGATGAAAAAGTCAAGATTTAATCTGAAGTAAAAACCAACTATTTTCTTCATAGTTTTTCTTTCTTCGTATTATAGCACTTCCCGTTTACGTGGCATTTTGCCTATGTTTATTCAATCATTTCTTTCGGACCGTTCCTTTTGTGTCAGAGTGGGGAATGGGATCTCATCGGAGCATTTGATGGAAAATGGCGTTCCTCAGGGTTCTACTTTAAGCGTGGCCCTTTTTCTGATTGCTATGAATGGCGTAATATCCAATCTTAACCCAGAAATAGGAAGATCTTTATACGTGGATGACCTTTGTATATAAACTGACCGGCAAAAAAATACGGCCACTATAAATTAGCTAAAACTTCAAAGGTGGCTTTCTCGCGAACCGCGCATTCGATTTTGATGATTGTTTCTTTGATCGAAAGGTTGATTCTTCGGTAATAATCCTGCGATAGGAATTTTCATTTAGATTTTAATTTGAGCATATACGGGCTGCAAGAATGAGAAAAAGTTTTTTTTCTCGAAATTTGTTATACCCTGTGGGGTGCAACTGCTACAGCAGATGGTGTTAACTGGAATCAAACGGTAGCCCAATCTTTTCTGAACATTTTGTTTTTTTATTCACTCTATTATCTCTATTACTAACGAAGATGCAGTGTTTTAAAGCGAACGTCTGTGAAAACAAGACAAACAAGCATAAAAAATTTAAGGTGGCGCGCTAGGTAGCGTATGTCATTTGTTTCGAATAGTAAATTGATAGTTGTTAAAGATTTTCACAGTCTTTTAACATAATAGCAATCCCGTTGTCAGTAACTGATGTTGCGCGTATTGTTACTTTAATTGAGGATGACAAAAGTCAGCGATACATTGCCCATACCTTGGGTATACCCCGAACAACAGTTCAGGATGCCTGGAACAATATGTGGAAACAGGAAATTTCACTAGGCAGCAAGGTTTCGGTAGAAGACGAGTGACAACAGCAGTTGATGACCGATTTATTGTTCTAAACACTGTGAGGAATCGTAGAACGACAGCTGTAGAAACTCGGCATCGTCTTCAAATGATGCGTGGGGTTGACGTAAGGGAAAGAACCATTCATCGAAGACTTGATAAAAGTGATCTGACTGCAAGAAGACCTGCCAAAAGATCTCGGCTGCTCCAGAGACATCGGTCTTCAATTTGGGCACGTACATATGAATTAGGGAATGGAACAATGGGGTAAGGTGCTCTTCACTGACGAGTCCCGCTTTTGTCTCCTCCTATCGACTACACTCCAAGTGTGGAGACATCGTAATGAAAGGTTTGCGACCTGCACAATTTCGGAAAGAGTACCTTTCCATGAAGGTTCTATTCCCATTTTATTGGTGACGGATTCATGCTAATACATGACAATGCGCGATCGCACATAGCACGTGTGGTTAACGAATATCTTGATGAGGTAGGGTATTGAACGGATAGAGTGGCTAGCGTGCAGCCCGGACCATAACCCTATCGAATATCTTTGGGACCAACTTCAGAGACGCATTCGTCGTCGTTCTGTCCTACCGGACGACCTTCAAGAGTTACGAATTGCTCTTGAAGAAGAGTTTACCGCAATTCCTCAGGAATCAATTACAAACCTAATCAGTTCGATGCCGCGTCGACTACATGAGGTTATTTTGCCTCGTGGGGGGCACACACGCTATTAATTTTCGTGTTATTATTAATTGTTACATTAAATTAAATTTGTTTTCTTGTTTATTTGTCAACAGATGTTTACAATAATGAAGGACGTACGCAATTCTGTAATTCTAAGAAAATGTAAGTGCTTCTGCAAAACTGTTTCAGTTTTTGTTTTCAAGGTCAGTGATTTCAGGTGCCACTTTTAACACAGATTAAAAATCTGTATAGGCTTCATTGTAAATTCCTGGCCACAGAATCACCATCGAAACATTCGCGTTTTATAATTGTATAGTCCACAAATCTTTCATTTCAACGTCTTCATATTCACTCATCGATCATCGGGTGATAGACAAAACCACTACTCATCCGTGCAGATTGAATACGCGCTCGTCGATATCTTGGAAACAACCTCGGTCCTTTGGCAGCCATCTTACAGCGAGAGCACATCTAGCAAGTTTTCAGCGAATGGTTCTCTCACTGACATCAACAACATGCACCATTTGAAGACGACGCCGAGCTTCTACAGCTGTCGTTCTACGATTGCTTAGAACAATAAAACGGTCATCAGCTACTATTGTCACTCGTCTTGTTTTCACAGGAGAACGCTTTAAAATACTGCATCTTCGTTAGTAACAGAGATAATAGAGTGAATAAAAAAACAAAATGCTCAGAAAAGATTGGGCTACCGTTTGATTCCAGTTAACACCCTCTGCTGTAGCAGCTGCACTCCACAGAGTATTACAAATTTCGAGAAAAAAAAGGTTTTGTCATTCTTGCACCCCGTATATGCTCAAATTAATATCCGAATAAAAATTTCTATTGCAGGATTATTACAGAAGAATCAACCTTTCGATCAAAAAAAGAATCATCAAAATCGAATGATTGGTTCGCGAGTAAGCCAGCTTTGAAATTGTGGCTACATTTTAGTGGCCGGTTTTTTTCGCCGGTCAGTGTATTTAATAATAATAATAATAATGTCTTTATTACCAACATCAAATTAACAAATTAAATATTCTATACAAAACAAAAAAAAATAAAATAAAATACTAAATTCACTAGTAAATTATAATAGTACGAAATGGCGAAGTTCAGTGCCGAGACACTGCTCAACTTAACCTTAAATTCCATTATAATAATATTCAAAAAATTCCAAAACGTTTAGCAACAAGCGAACAAACTAGATATATAAAGAAAATAATTAAAGAAATACCTCTGCCAGTACAGACAGAAACGGAAAAAAAAATGTAAAAAAAAAAGAAAACTAATACTTAATAAATGCCACCTTCGCCTTACATTTAAATAGTTAGGATGGCCGTCTGTTGATCAAGTAAGCAACCAAACACTCGCTTTTTAAATGAGGAGACGCTTGCAAGCAGTTTCGTTTCAGTGGGTAAATCATTGTACATCTTTACAATCTGATAACTGAAGCTCCGTTTAAATAACTCCGTATTGTGGTTAGGAGGTGACAGAGCCCCCCTGAATCTCAAATTCAAGTTATGAATGTCAGTGCGATATTGAATTTTTTGGCATAAATATTGAGGCTTTTCTCTCTGAATTATGTTGTAATAAAACACACAACAATGCAGCTGCCTCCTACGGACCATATTAAGCCATTTTACCTCTGTCAACTTATGTGAAATTCTGTCATACTTCCTAATCCCGAAAATAAATCGCAGACAGGCGTTCTGAACCCTCTGTATGCGCTGCTCATCGACCCTAAGTAAAGACGGCCCATACACCACATCTCCAAAATTAAATTTTGATAAAATCAGCGCATTACAAAGTAGAGTCTTAGTGTTGACAGTGAGAAGATGGCGAGAGGGGTACAGAGCTTTTAGTTTACCAAACGCACCCTGAAGCATACTTGACACGTGACTCCGGAATCTCAAATCCGAATCCATCACCAACCCTAAATTACGTGCTTCAGATACAATGGGGAGCGTTGATCCGTTGACCGTTACCCTGACATCTCCACCATAACGCAAAATATCCATTTTTCGGCCAAATATCATAACTTTTGATTTATTCGGATTGATTACTAAACTGTGATGGTTGGCGGCAGACACCAGATCCGACAATATATTCAATAAATTCAGATAATGTTGTTGTTCTTGAGGTTTATATGATATATACACCTGAGTATCGTCTGCGTAAAAATGAACTTTGCAGTACTTAAAAATATTACTTAAAGGTGCTGTGTAAATTGAGAATAGGGTTGGGGAGAGCACAGAACCCTGCGCCACACCCGACCCAAGAAGGCGTACATTAGATTGATGGTTAGACAGCTGCACGTATTGTTGACGACCACTCAAGAAATTCTCAAAGAATGCAACTGCTGAATCTTCCAGCCCATAGTGCTTTAAAATAGTTAGTAAGAGGTTGTGATTTACTGTATCAAATGCCTTCGTGTAATCCAATAGAACAAGTATAGTCATGTACCCTCTATCTGTTGCACCCATTATGTCATCGATTACACACGTTAAAGCAGTCGTACAAGTGTGACCATGTCTAAATCCAGACTGAACCGAAGGAAGGATGTTATTAATTTCCAGGTGATGCTGCAGTTGAACATTAATAATTTTTTCCATGATTTTTGACATTGCCGTTAGTATACTTATTGGACGAAGGTCAGAAACGAGGATCGGATTAGCAACTTTTGGAATCGCGCGCACGACTGCTACTTTCCACAAAGAAGGAAATACACTATTTTGAATACAAAAATTAACAAGATGTGTGACATAAGGCAGTAGAAATGGCATACAGTATTCTAATGTTTTAACCGATACTCCATCGGTTTCATTTGAAAGGATCCACAGTACAACAACTTAATAATTCACTTCAGCCTGCCATCAACACTATATTGGAGAACACTATATCGATTGGTTATAAGGTATCTGTGCAAAAAACAAAGTGTGTTCTATTCTCTAGACGATATCGTCATCAAGAAAATCCCTCTTTGTATTTACAAAGTATCCGTATTGGTGTTGTTCCTGAAATTAAATTCTTAGGGATGATATTCGATGCCAAGTTACGATGGCAGATCCATATTCAGTACATTATTTCGCGTTGTCGGAAATCATTAAATCTACTGCGCGTTTTATCTGGTACAAGGTGGGGGGTTGATACTACAGTGCTGAAGATGTTGTATAAACGTGTGATATTGCCTGTTATTGATTATGGTAGTGTGGTGTATTTCTCTGCAAGAATAACCGTACTCAAAAAACTTAATGTAATACACAATCTTACAATACGGTATATACTTGGGGCTTTTCCCACTAGTCCGGTTCATAGTTTGTATTGTGAGTCTGGTATTGCTCCCCTTCACCATCGGCGTAATTGGCAAATTCTTAATTATTTTGTAAAAACCTGAGCACCCAATCTCTATATTATTTTCCCAACAGCCACCTGTGTACAGATTAACAGCCACAAGACCGGCAATAGTAAGAGCCAAAGAACTGCTGGGAACTTTAGATTTTACGATGCTTTCTTTATGCAGTATCGAATTTACTCCTTGGCTGTTAAATAAACCCGTTTTCAATTTAAATCTTACATGTTATGCTAAAGAGAGTACACCACGGGAATTACTTAGAGCTGAATTTAGAAATATAATCAATGCCTATGATGATGCTGTTTTTATTTATACTGATGGTTCCAAAAAGGAGAGTGGGGTTGGTTGCGCGTTTGTGGTTGGGGATAGTAATTATTCATGGAGCTTACAGAGTTTTGCGTCTTCTTTGCGGAGTTATATGCCATCTTCCAGGCTCTGTTATTCATCCGTATGAGTCATAATGGAAATAACTTTGTCATAGTTTTTAAATAAAATTGTAGTTTTGAGTGCTCTTAAATCATTACAAGCAATGTGTCCAAATGAACCGATGGTACGGATGGTTGGAGAATTGTTACATGTTATCTTGCTTTCTGGAAAACAGATCGTATTTATATGGGTGCCCGGTCATATCGGCATTGAGGGTAATGAAAGGGCAGATAAAGCAGCAGGACACGGGGTTGACGGTAACAGTGTTGACGTCAGTGTATGTCGTCATAAGGATATCATAAGGCATCTTAAATTTCTGGTATAGTAGACGCCACGAGAGCTGGCAGTAAATCATCATTTTCCGCTCTTACAAATGCCATACGTAGTTCACAAACCGCTAGAGAGTAATGTGTGTTGGAAAGAGATAGCATTAGTTTAATATGTCTGCTGTACAGTTCAAATGACCTCGTCGAAAAAGTACGTCTGTTCTTCTAAGGGATGTCACTCTATAATTATAACCTCAAATCGCAACGTCTTGTGAGCGTTGTCATGAATCTGTTAGTTTTTTCACAAGCCGAAAATGTTTTCTTTGAAAGGAAAATCATTAAATAATATCTTTGACAATGTTTGACATATAACCTCCATTACTAACATAACCTACATTTAAATGTATGTGGTGAAATAATCTAAGTCGTACGTCCATACCTTGATTCATACCATTTTTAAGCGATCTGTCACTGCCAGCTCTCGTGGTTTCTACTATATATAACAAATGCCAGAATAACTGGCAACACAATGAAAGCTTTCTACGCCGTATCAAACCCTTAATAAAACCTTGGAATCAGCCCATTATCTTCAATAGATTAGAACAGGTGAAACTAGCAAGATTACATATAGGACATACACAACTAACTTCCGGTTATTTGTTAAAACGAGAACCAAGACCTGTATGTTTGGGCTGCGAAGTTCATCTCACGGTAATGCATATCCTGCTAGACTGTGAATTATATGCCAACGAGAGACAATTACATAATTCTGGTATAGTCATTAATGCTGCGATCCATTTCTGTGAGTCACTTCTCTCCATTGCTTCATTGTAATTTTTGGGTACGTTTTCTAAAGTGTCGATGTGCATGCCAGGTGTGATTCACTTAAATCGTTACCTTTTAAATGGTTTGGTAGTTTCCTTGGACTTTGACTTTGTCTCAAAGGTTATGTCTGATCTTTCCGATTTTTGAGTTGTTTTGTTGCATTTTTATTCTCTCTTTCCTCTTGTGTTTCATTGTCTACTTCCTTCTGTTTCTTTACATGTCGGTTACTTATTTAATTGGTGTTCTCAATTATCGTATTCTGAAATTTTGAACTTGTCAGTCATAAAATCATAAAATTTCTTGTTCCAACATCTAGCATATGCCTCCTTGAGTCCGTATAAGTGTTTTGTTAGTTTATAAATATATCAGTTTCTTTGTTCACATCCTTCTGGTATAGTCATTAATATATCCTCTTCTAAGTCTCTATGCAAAAATGCAGATTTTATGATGCTGCGATCCATTTCTGTGAGCCACTTCTCCTCATTGCTTCATTGTAATTTTTGGGTACGTTTTCTAAAGTGTCGATGTGCAATGCCAGGTGTGATTCACTGAAATAGTTATCTTCTAAATGGTTTGGTAGTTGTTTCCTGGGACTTTGACTTTGTCTCAAAGGTTGTGACCGATCTTTTCGATTTTTGAGTTGTTTTGTTGCATTTTCATTCTCTCTTTCCTCTTGTGTTTCATTTTCTACTTCCTTCTGTTTCTTTACGTGTCCGTTCTTTATTTAATTGGTGTTTCAGTCAGATCATTATCAGTGTATTCTATCATCATGCAAGTGTCAGCGTTTGAGTCGAACTTCTTCCTTAATTGTTTTAGTTTTAAGTTGTACGCAATACATCCAAATACTTTTATTTTCTTGAAGTTGATTTTCTTTGATAAAACATTGTTTTCTTTTAACGCTGTTGTTCGGAGTTCTGTTTATTAGATAAGCAGCACAATAAGTTGCTTCTCCGCACATATTTTTGTCCAGTTTTGAATCTAATAACATAGTGTTTTGTTTGCTCTTTCAGCAATTCCGTTTTATTCAAGTGTGTTCTGGTGTTTAATTCATTCCTCTTTACAGAATGATTGAAAATCCTTTCACAAGTACTCAAGTTCCATTGTCACATGAAACGCGTTTGCATGATTCTCGTTTACTTCATATTGTATTTTGTAGAGATTGTCTTCCTTTTTAGCTAGTACTATTATTTTTTTTATTTTTGATCAGTACAGCTTTTTCCTTATCAAACTTTATCTTACTTTCTACGATAGCGAGCTTTTGTACCGAAAGTAGGTTACATCTCAGATCTTTTACGTGCAGACATTTTTTTCTTTCTGCCATTTCATTTATTAGTCCAAGAATAATTTCAATTTCTGGTTGGTACAGCCAGACGTGTTTCTTTCTTGAAGTAATTTCTTATATTTGCTAGATGATCAGTTGCCCCTGATGGCAGATAGAATTCTACTCTGTTAGGTTTGTTCTTGATCGGGTTTTCATAAACGATAAATGCCAATTTTTCATTTTCGCCGTCGTCACTCTTCTCAGCAACGTGAGCTTCTCTTTTCTTGCAATTAAATTTCAAAGTTGTGAAATGTTCCTATCCATTTCTTTGTTCGATCTCTATTCTTCGCTAACTTGTTAAAAGCAGTTTTATTTTCTTCAAAATTATCATCATTATTCATTTTACGTTTCAATTCTTAATCCAATTATTTGGCCTTGACGTAAATTTCTACAATCTACAGTAAGTTTTTCTCTTTCAACGAGTTCTAAGGCTGTTGCTATATTATCATAGCTTCTGGGTAGTGTTAGCAGTAAATGGCATACCACATCTGTGTTTTCTAAGGCAGCTCCGAAGGCTTTTAAACTCTAATTGTTTCGTCAAATTTCAGAAAATGACTTTCTAACGATTCTTTAGATGAAAGTTTCATGCATAGTAATTTTCTGCACAAGTACAATTGGTTTGCAATACTTTTTCTTTCGAACTAATTTTCTTAGTACTTTCCAAATTTTGTAGATGTTTTTATCTTTAATTAGTTCTAGATAAATTTCTTTTCTTTTGAATTCTTCAGTAGTTCCTACAGTTTCTATGCATTTGTTAACGTCCGCGTGATCCAGGTAGAAAATTGCTGGTAGTCGAAATTTCTAATGATTAAAGTTCTCGCCGTCGAATTGACAAATTCTTAATTCCTAATTTCTGGGCGTTCTAACTGTGTTCTGGACGCATATCCTGATGAAATAATAGCCGGAGTTCGCCCATAACAGTGGTTTTATTGTATTTAACACTACATGTATCTAACTAAACTAGTTACTTCAGTTCGGCGTAGTTTACATCACTAACTTTTACAAACCGGTTTTAACGGTTTCTTAGAGCGACTTGTTATTACTTTCGACAGCGCAATCGCGGCTTTCGGCTCATTTACGTTTACACATTCGCATAGCCAAAAAAGTCTTTCAACTAATTCTTTGAAACCGATAAATTTTTCGAAATAATTTATGTGATAATATTTACCTTTGATAACTTATCCGAATCTAAAGCAGCATTCCCCAAAACTTTTAACAAATGGATTTGCCTCTTAAGATCCTCATCTTTGTAATTATCTTCAATTAAATACTGGAACGTGTTCGTCCAATGTTCCTTTTTAAAGTCTGCAAGCGCCAAGGTTTGTTTAACATCTTCTTTTTGTGCCTCTTCATTATTAACATCTGTGGCTAAATTCCAAGCTGCTTCCACTTGGTTATAATAGAACGTTTTGGATTCTTCGTTATAATCATTTAACAAGGCTTTAATTTCAGCTTCATTCTTATTTTGCACTTTTAGCCATTGATACAACGGTTTGAAGTAGTCCATAAGAGCCGAAGCATCCAAAGCATTTTCTCCAGTCATTGCTTTTAAGACTTCTTCCCAATGTTGGCTGGAACCCAATTTCAAACCAGCACTGAAATAAATAAACAAAAATAAAATACTAATATAAAAGACATCTTTTTTGGAGATTACCTTAATTTTGTTCCGGCTTCTTTGGACTTATAGAAATCGCATTTATGTAAAGGTTTATTCTCATCATTAGCATCATACTCCCCAGCCGCGATACAAAGACTTCTATAAAGTTGAAATTCCAAAATGTGTGCAACAAAGTAACTAATATACTGGGAATCTCCAGCAACGTGATACTTCGCGCCTGGATCGAAATCGGTTTCACTTCTTTGAACGGGCGGTTTAACTTTTTGAATTTGTTTTCTGTACTCCCACCATTTATCGTTCCATTTATCTTGAGTAACCGTTCCGCTAAATACGTCCCATCTCCATTTATCAATTAATAATCCAAACGGTAAGAAAGCGACCCGCTCTAAAGCCATATCCATCAAGGCGTTCATTGAAGCTTCTTTATCATCTTCATAATCTTTTAATAAACCAATTTCTTGTAAATGTTTTGGGGTGGAAACTGAAAGTGCGATTGTATCACCAATAGCTTCATGAAAGCCGGGGTTAGCACCATCTCGTAAAGTAATCGGTTGATCTTTGTACTGCAAGAAATATTGGATGTGACCCATTTCGTGATGAACCGTTATAAAATCTTCGTAATCAATTTCAGTACACATTTTGATCCTGAACGTTTTTGCGTCATAGAAATCCCAAGCAGAAGCGTGACATAAAACTTCTTTATCATTTGGTTTAACAATCATTGAATCATCACCATATGAAACGGAGTTGTCCAAAAGTCCTAAAGATGTGTAAAACTCGTTGGACATTTCAAACATTTTTTTGACATCATAATCAGCTTCTTCCATCGCTTTAGTAACGTTTACTTCGCTCGCATTTGGATATGGTGTAACTAATGGGGAGAGATTTATCCAAGATTGTGCCCACATATTTCCAAAAACGTGCGCGGGAATTAAACCATCTTCAATATCAATTTTATCTCCATATTTCTCTTTTAATTTACCACCAACGTACTTATGTAATTCATCGTATAAAGGTTTTACGGTACTCCATAAATCATCGAGATTTTGAACAAAATCTGTCGTTTCAAACCAAGACATCCACATCTCCCCTTTATCGGCAAAATGGTTTGCTACGGCTGCTTCATTAGATAATTCAACATACTTTTTGTAGTGATCTATCATTTTTGCACCGCTAGCCTTCCTCCATTCGGTCCAAGCGTACTCCAATTCATCGTAATCATTTGATTTCGATAAAATCGATTCTATACCAGGTTCTAAATTTAAACCATCCTTTGAAAGATCACATTCTTTGTTAGTGTAAGGACAAATTTTTGCTGCACTGTAAATGTTGGTCATATCAGAAATAGTATTCGTTAACTAAAAAAATATAAAAACGAAAAATTAAAAGAAGACATCTAAAAATTGGAAATAAATTACTTCTGATAACTTCTCTGTGCCTAAAGCTGCGTTCCCCAAAACTTTTAAGAAATGAAGTTGTCGCTTAACATTTTCATCTTGGTAGTCATCTTCATTTAGATATTGGAATGTGTCCGTCCAATGTTTCTTTGTGAATTCGGCAAGTGCTAAAGTTGCTTTAACTTCTTCATTTTGTGCGTCTGTATTGGCTACGTCTGTGGCAAAGTTCCAAGATGCCACCACTTGGTTATAATAGAAAGTTTGGGCTTCTTTGTAGTAATCGTCCAAATAAGTTTTTAGGGTTTCTTCATCCATGTTTTGAATTTTTAACCAATTATATAATGGTTTGAAATAATCTAAGAGAGCTGATGCGTCAAGATCAGTTTCGCCAGTCATTGCTTTTAAAGCTTCAGACCAATGTTTACTAGCTCCTAAAGATAATCCATCCCTAAGAATTATAAATTTATACTTGTTATTAAATCATTAATTATCATTAATACTTTAATTTCGTTCCGGCAGCAGTTGATTCGTAGAAATCACATTTATGTAAAGGCTTCTCATCTGGTTTTTCGAGGTTGTATTCACCTGCAGCTGCGCAAAGACCTCTATACATTTGAAATTCCAAAATGTGAGCTACAAAATAACTAAAAGATAAAAGTTAATCGGTGATTTTAACAAAATGATTTTTTTGACAATTACTTTATGTATTGGGAATCTCCAGCAACGTGGTATTTAGCAGCCGGATCAAAATCGGTGTCTTTGCTTTCAACTGGTCGCTTAACTTTTTGAATCTCCTCCCTATATTTCCACCATTGCTTATTCCAATCTTGCTCTGTAACTTTTCCATTAAAAACATCCCACCTCCATTTATCTATTAATAATCCAAATGGTAAGAATGCAACTCTTTCTAAAGCCATGTCCATTAAGGCATTAATTGAAGCTTCCTCGGAGTCAACATAGTTTTGGAGTAAACCAACTTTTTCTAGATGTTTTGGCGTGGCAACAGAAAGTGCAATTGTATCACCAACGGCTTCGTGAAAACCTGGATTAGCACCTCCTCTGAGTGCAATTTGAAGTTGTTTATATTGAAGGTAATATTGGATGTGTCCCATTTCGTGATGGACGGTTATAAAATCCTCCATGTCGATTTGCGTGCACATTTTAATTCTAAAATCTGATCCATCGCAAAAATCCCAAGCGGAAGCGTGACATAAAACATCTTTATCATCCGGTTTCGTAATCATCGCCTTCGCTCCGTACGACATTGCGTTATCTTCAAGACCAAGAGAGGTGTAGAATTTATTGGATTCCTCGAACATTTTTAGAACGGTATAACCTTGCTCGAGCATGGCTTGAGTAACATCAACAGCACTAGCATCAGGATATGGTTTCACCAAAGAACCTAAATTAACCCAGGATTGCGCCCACATATTTCCAAAAACATGAGCCGGAATTAAACCATCAGCAATATCCAGTTTTTCCCCATATCGAGTTTTTAATTTCTTTGAAACGTATTTGTGAAGTTCCTCGTAAAGCGGTTTAACCTGATTCCATAAATCATCGAGTTTTGATTCAAAGTTCTCAGTTTCGTAAGCTTCTTGCCATAATTCAGCAGCGGTGTTTTTACCTTAATCAAGAAAAATAAATTATTAATTTTCACTAAATTGAGATATTACTTTACCGTTTTTAGCTGCAATTTTGTTTTTGAGTTCAACGTATTTTTGATATTCGGGTTTAATTTTAGCTCCTGTTGCATCTCTCCATGCTGTCCATGCGTAAAGTAATTCATCGTAATCGGTTGATTCAGACATTATTTTTTCTATTCCTGGTTCTAATGTTAATAATTCCGATGCCGTGCAAGTATCTTTTGTTTTATATGGACAAATTTTTGCTGTACTATAAATGTTACTCATTTTATTCGTTATTTCTGTAAACTAAAAGAAAATTTTATTATAAATACTATATGTTAAGACCTCGCTTGAGAATCTGAAGGCTCTGAATTTTGTATATCAATACGAAATCGCCTGTTTTAAAAGATTGTAGCGCCTCGCCCTCAATTGAAGATTAATCTTTTTCAAGATATATAAAGAATGATTTCACACTCAATTGAAATGGAATGTGAGATAGCTGGAATCTATTTAACGCAGTTAGATATAATCATGACTACGTACAGATCTCTGAACGCTAATTTAAACATATTTCTTGAAAATGTTGAAATGGTAACATTGGGTCTAATGCAAAAATTTAAACCGGAAACCAAAATCGTCATAACAGGAGATTTCAACATACACTTTAATATTCAATGGGGCTACACGGGAACTCATTAATACTATGGCTTGCTGGGGTTTAAAGTCGACTAGCTCTGAATACACAAGAGAGTCTGTAACAACTAGAACCTCAATTGATGACATATTCAAGAATGTCGATCTATACACCATTAACATTCTTAAATCTGGGATTTCTGACCATCATAGAATCGTTTTAAACTTACCAACTATTCCAGTAGTCAACACCAAAACCAGAATGCGACGTTTAACACAATACGGACAATTACAGTTCAAAAATGTATTGGAAAATGAAACTTAGAACACTGTTTTTAATACAGTAGGGGCTGAAAACAAACACGATGTTTTTCTAAATTTATATTTACACTTCGTGAATATCGCCTTCCCAATTCAACAAAGACCACGTAAAAGAAAACAATATGTAATGGATGCTCAAACTCTGCAGGTAGAACAAAAAGTTAATGACAAAAATTAGATTTGAATAAAAACATAAATTTATAATATAAATTTGTTATTAAATTGAATTTGGAATGTAATAAAATACATTAAATTATTTATTTCGTTGTCTTCCGGAACTAATAAATTCTTTATCAATTTTTTGAAATTTTTCCTTGTGATGGGCGTTAGGTTTGTTAGGCATCTCTCATTAAGTGATCGACACGTCTTGTGCGAAAGTTTATTACATTCGCCATCAATACAAAATAAATTTCAAATATCGGCGGTGGAATAATTTACCATGATGTTCAATAATTTACACCCGTCGTCAAATGTAACTAATGGCAACAATAATACAAACATGGACCAAAAACTGTCAAAATTCCATAGCTTTCTAATAAAAAATCCTGTATTTCGTGCATGTTTTAATAAATTTCGCAATATAAGGCAAACTACAATAAATAGGTATGGGAATGTTTATAGATAATTTGTAGAGAATTAAATTCTCTTTCTGATAGGCTAAACTCAAGATAGACCAAAATAACTCGAAAACGAAAAACGCTAGGTACCAATAACATTTATCAACTTATCAAGTCAACCTATTTTTTTACGTACAATTAAATTGTGTAATAAAAACTATAACATTCCATTTAAAATAGCGCAGTTATGGTCTACTTCCGGTAGACCGGAAGTGGCGGCCATCTTGAAAATATGTTAGATCGAAAGTGCCGAATGAACAACCCATGCTACCAAAATTTCAAATCTCTACGAATAGTGGAACCTGAAAAAGTTCTAACGAACCAGTTACGTGAGACACCCTGTATAAGTTGTTTTTTAGAAATTCCAACGTTTTTGAGATATAATCATTTTTCTATATTATAACACAACCAGCATTTTTGTCAGCTTTAACGAAGAACGGTAGTGTCGTTCAGTGTCGTCCACTTTACATCTTTATTTTCCGTTATTTCAGTTTTTAAATCATTTTATCTACAACTATTGAATTATCTATTCGTTATACATTTGATTTTTGTCGGGTAATGACACCAATTACTCATGACTGACAAAGTGTTGAATAATGAAGTCATTATTCCACAGTTCTGACACGGCCTACTAATCAAAAAAATAAAATATTAACAGAAATGACAGCTTTCTTATATTGAGGTTATGTCTGAAATGTCTATCAAGTTT